GGTATACAAATATAAAATTTCATATAAACAAATTTTGTTAATACTTATATACTATGCATTTTGTATAATGTATACATATGGTAATTAGATATGCATATTATGTTTGTGTATGTATGCATATCGTGTTTCATTCTCAAAACATTATTTAAGTTTATCATTAATCTGACCGTTTAACTTTTGCTTTTTAATATTATTTTTTATTTTTTCTTATTTATAATTCAAAATTTTAATTTAAACAAACAAATTTTTTTTTTGTTTAACATTGTAATTGTGGTAAAAATAGTTAAATTAAAATTTATATATGTATGTATGTGTATAGCGTGTTTTTACATAGAAGCTTAATATAAAAAACAAAACCAATTAAACCTCAAGTATAAAACAAAATAAACCCAAAACGAACAGAAAATAGTTAAAAAACGAGAAAAAAAGTAGAGTTGACTTTGTCAACTCTGTGATAACCTTACGAATTTGTTGTCCTATGTGCGAATAACTAATGTGCCATAACTAACTATGGGGCAGACTATGACTTTAAATTGCCGTATTACCATATTAATTTATGCAAAATTTCAGTACTATGTGTTTTTCAAAATACTGGTTGTGCCAAACTACTATTGAAGTTGTATGGCAGCTACCAGAAAGAGCCAAGAAATTTTAGCGAATTTTATCAAGCACATCGGCCCTACTAATATATTCACTTGTGTGAAATCTCAATATCACAGCTTTTATAGTTTCTGAGATATAGCCAAATAACTTTTGAAGTTGTATGGCAGGTACCAGAAGGAGCCAAGTAATTTCAACAACTTTTATGAGACACATTGGCCCTACTAATATATTCGTTCGTGTGAAATTTCAATACCATAGCTTTAATAGTTTCTGAAATATAGTCAAATAACTTTTGAAGTTGTATGGCAGGTACCAGAAGGAGCCAAGTAATTTCAACGACTTTTATGAGACACATTGGCCCTACTAATATATTCGTTTTTGTGAAATTTCAATACCCTAGCTTTAATAGTTTCTGAAATATAGTCAAATAACTTTTGAAGTTGTGTGGCAGGTATCAGAAAGAGCCAAGTAATTTCAACGACTTTTATGACACACATTGGCCCTACTAATATGTTCGTTCGTGTGAAATTTCAATACCATAGCTTTAATAGTTTCTGAAATATAGTCAAATAACTTTTGAAGTTGTATGGCAGGTACCAGAAGGAGCCAAGTAATTTCAACGACTTTTATGAGACACATTGGCCCTACTAATATATTCATTTTTGTGAAATTTCAATACCATAGCTTTAATAGTTTCTAAAATATAGTCAAATAACTTTTGAAGTTGTATGGCAGGTACCAGAAGGAGCCGAGTAATTTCAACGACTTTTATGATACACATTGGCCCTATTAATATATTCGTTTGTGTGAAATTTCAATACCACAACTTTTATAGTTTCTGAGATATAGCCAAATAAATTTTGAAGTTGCATGGCAGCTACCCGAACCGGTACCCCGATCACGTCCAATTTAAATAGGGTTCTGGCACTTACTACAATAAATCATTTGTGAAAATTTGGTGAATTTAGCTCAATTAGTTTTTGAGTTATCGTTCGGACGGACGGACGGACAGACAAAGCTAAATCAACTCAGAATTTGACGCTGATCAAAAACATACACTTGAGTCTATATCTAACACCGTTATTTCTTAGCGTTACAAACGGTAAGGCAAATTTAGTATACCCTTCGAACATACGTTCGTACGGGTATAAAAAACATGAATTTTTTTTTCGGGTGAACTATGAACAGAGATTTGAATTTGTTTACCCATCAGCAATAACAATCAATTTTAATATATTGGCAAATGTATATATGTATATAAATATCCAATGTTATTTTCCATTTTATATAAAATGAGCACAATATTAATTTAGTACAGGTTCCCTTTTTGTTTTAATATGTTTTTTTTCTAAGTGTTTAAATAATTTTATTTCGAATATAATTTTCAAAGTCGATTTGGAATCTTTATAGCTCATTATTAACCATTAATGAATATACAATAATATTAAAGCTTGAATATTTTAAAGCGAATTTCTCTTCTTCTTCTTCTGCGAGTTCATTGAGAGAATTTTCGTATCCCATTTGCTATTTAAGAATATTTAAGAATTTGAACAGCAAATATGTTTAGTTTTAATAGAACAGAATTTAATGCAATATTTAGACCTGTCCTGTTCAATTGATTTGATAGATTTTTTGTGTCATCACATTATATTTACTGGTAAAATAAATCTTAAAAGTACGTTTAAATTTTAAAATCTTGTATATACATACTTGTTTTCTGCGTTTTTCATCTGGCTTAAAGTTTAAATAATGAGTCTTAATGCATTATGTACCCGCACATGTTATGTTTATCCTAATTTAGTTTTGACCAAATATTAGATAATAAAAATCTTTTAATATCCTACATGTTTGTGAATTTGTTCACTTTTAAATATAAACTTAAACGAGAATCTTAATGCTCATAAATGGTGTACATATATATACATATATGTAATAACCGATTGATTCCCATATTTGCAAGGAAAATTTTTACCCTATATAAAAAACTTTAAAAGAAAAAAATTTATAAAAGTCCAAAAGTGAAGCAAAAAATATGCAACAATAGCAAAAATTAAAAATCAAAAAAAAAAATAATGAAAAAAAAAAACAAAAATCTTTACACTACTTACTTACTTTACTACATCATTTTTATGTTGCAACATTAAAAACAAAAAAACATTAAAATAAAAAAATAAAGTAGCAAAACGACTGCAAAAAGAAAAACGAAAGAGAAAAATTAAAAAACAATCATAAGAAGAAAAACAGAACAATACCATAAAAAGAATACCTACAATGTTGCTAAAACAAAAATAAAAATCCAAAATATCTAGTTTACTTTTTGTTTTTAAAGCAACGTAAACAATTTAAGTAAAAAGCACACCATAAACAACACCAACAGTAACAACAATAATAGCAACATGAAAAGCAGTCCATGAAAAATTCCTTTACTTTATCCAAAAACAACACAAGCGACGACGACAACGACACCAATTACAACAAAAAAAAAGAAAAACAAAAACTCAAAACAAATTCCAATACAATCACAATTTAAGACCGGTTTTTTTATTGCATTAATGGTCGTAAATAACTATCTTTTACATAAATATCTTAAAATATAAATTTATACGTCACCAACGTAATAACCATATTGTATATGCAACACACAATCCAACATAAATGAGAATAAACATAACAAACAACATAAATGTATATAAACATAGTTTCTTAAAAGAAAGAATACAAATTAAACTGAGTTACAAAGAGAACAAAATTCTTGAGCAAAAAAAAATCAGGTAATTGTTTATAATCATAAATGTTGCTAATATCATTCTAAGCAACATGATGATCTTACTGTATTTATCAATATGTAAGAAAAGAGATTGTTACAACAGAAGTATTCTTATTGAATAAATTGTAAAAATCAAGTAGTAAGCACTTGCTTTGAATAACAAGCGTTATCACTTGTTAAAATAAACTTTGTTAAAATTTTTGAAGAATAGATCAAAAATTTTGTATTCTGAAGAAAGGCGGAATTCGATACAGAAACTGATCCGTATACAATAATATTTATTCAGATCAAATGAGTTACTAATTCTAGTTCTTAAATTTTAATAAGTAAATTAAAAAAATAAAATTAGTTTATGATTTTTCTCCGATTTTATGCTATTCCTAACAACATAATTTTTTCCGTTTTAGTAAAATGAAATACTTTAACCGTAACATTATAAAAAGAGGCAACATTATTTTAGAAACATGTTGATAGAATTTAAAATATTTAAATTTCATATTTTTTTATTCTCACAGAAAACACTGTTTTTTAGATTTTGCTTTTGCTAAACGGTAGTAGAAGGAGTATTAGATATTCTTAATTCGAAACTGAACTGGAATAGTTTTCAAATTATTAATAATTTGCTATGAAAGATATAGAGGTGCAGATAGATTTATTTTGATTCATGTAAATGTGCGTTTAAAATAATCTCTTTTCGTTTAAACGGTTTTAATTTATTAATTTTTCGTTACTTTAAGAAAAAAAATACAAAACAAAAATTCTATAGTAATTTTATTCCTCTCTTAATAATATTATTTTACATAAATAAAAATACTCTTTATTTGTTCTAGAAAAATCATAACTAGTGTATTCATAGTACAGTAGTTTGACAATAAACTGAAACACAAAAATACAAAACATAATATAACTGACATGAAAAGGCGACACAACATAGCATTCACCAAATAATAATAATTACAACAAAAGCCATGGGAAAACAAAACAATAAAATATTTGTAGAGAGAGAAGAAGAGAAATTTGTAAGAGCGAACTAAGAATATTTTGATTTTGATAATATAATTAAGAGTAAAAAAAATACTAATAACAACAACAAAAAAGAAAATACATAAATAAATAAAAAGCACGTGAATTGAAAGAATATGAAAACTGAAATGTTTATCAACATTTTTAATATTTCTAAAAATAAATTGTTAGAACAACATGTTTTTTAAAATTTCTCTTCTCACTTTAATTTTCAACATTGTAATTTAAACATGTTTAGCAACAATATAGTACTACTTGTATACTTCGTATGTTAAAATTACCGTAAAGGAAAAGTTGTGGTAAAAACATTTTTTTTTTGTATTTTTATAATACATACACATATACATATTTCATATATGTTTGAATGTTTGTATATTACATTTTATATAATTTTTTATTTCAACATATTTGTTTTTTTTTTTCTGTATTTGTATTATTATTATTTTTTTACTCTTTTATTCAGTCACCGTTTAACTTTTGTTCGAAAACGTCTGTAAAAATTTGTTATACGGAAGAATATTATAACGTGCGGGTCTATTTCGAATAATATTATTATTATATTTTTATTATTTTTTCTTTTTGTTTTGTAAAAAAATAAAATATTAATATTAACGTTGTGTTTTATAAGAGCAGAGTAAAACAGAAAACAAAATCTCAAATAATACTTAAATTTAAAATAAAAAATAATGTAAAATATTATTTTATTATTATAAATAAATAATATTGAGTAAATTTACTGAAATAATTTGAAAAAAGAAAATATTTTTTTGTAAGTTTTGGGTTTTTTGTTTTTTTAAAATTACCAATTATATTTTAAATCTATTAAATAAATTTCATATTATAAGTGGAGCCTAAGTTTTCAGAAAATAATTAGGTATTAATAGTTATAAAATTATTTTGTGTATGTGAAATTAATTTACAGTTAACTTGCATATATATTTAAAAAATGAAGCATTAATAGGCATAAAATAATTTTCAATTACTTACAAAGTGAAAATTCATTAAAGAAAGTATTAAAATTAGAAATTATGAAAAATAAGAATAAAATATTAATAAAAATAATAATAATAAATATGAAAACAAGAAAATTAATAAAAAATTTTATATTAAAAGTACAAATATATTAATAAATATACGTACGTATAACAAAATCAGCCTAAAATACAAGTTTTTATTAGAAAAAAAAATATAAAAAGAGAATAACAGTAAGAAAGAAAAAATAAAAAATTGGTTGATGAAAAAATAAGAAATAAAAAGTAGAAGAGAAAAAATCAAGCAAATAAAAAAAAATAAGCAAAAAAAAAAAGTAGAGTTTACGTTTATTAACCTAAACTCTTATTCAATATTTTAACGTGGATGGTGGATATAAATATTAGTACCTACCATACCTGTATATCTATATTTATATATTAAACGATATAATAGTTATACATGAATATATTATATAAAAATTTATATGTTGTGTATAAAATTATTTTGTACATAAATTAAACACTGAAATCTCGATTAAAATATTCTTTAATTTCGTAAAATGGTATATTTTACGATATTTGTATAAGAGTTTTATTTTTTAATTCGAATACAATATTTATTTAATATTTTTTTTTGATATACGTTATTGTTAATTTAAATAATTAAAAATGTTTATTTCAATAATTTGGTGAATTTATTTTAACAGTTGAAAAATTTGATATATATAGGATAATTTCGGGATATAAGAGTTATTTAATAAGAATTATTGTTTAAAATTTATTACTTAATATTTTTGATTTAAATAATTAAAATTTTTGTTTTAACGTTTCTGTGTGTTTAATATTATACTATAAAAATTGAAATATATATATATATATATTAAATTATAAATTTATGTGTAGGTTTACTGAAATGAAATTTAGAAAGTAAAAAATTAAAAATTATGTGGAATAATAATTAATTTTTATGTCATAAAGTGCTATTTAAAGGTCTATCTAGTAATTATGTTAAAAATTTTAAATTTTATTGTGTTCAAGTGATTTTGGAATTTTTAGAAATAGAGTTTGTTTTATAATAATATAATTTGTGTTTATTATTAAATGTTATAAAAAATACGGTAATCTTATTTAAATGCCGATAATTAATATCGTGAATATTATATGAAAAAATATTAATAAAAAAATTTTTATTTAGGTAAATTTTAAATGGAAAATATTACTTAATTGAAAGGTGTAATGCAAATCACACTAGTAACTGGTTAGAATTTCATCAAAAGATTCTTACTTTATAGTAAGAGTAAATTATTATTTAGCAATATTTTTTTATTGTTAGGTCTTAATTAACTTGAAAAAAAATATTTCCGTCTAGAAAAATTTAGAATTATAAGTTTTAATTATTTTGACGGAATAATTTGTATAACTTATTTATTAGTTAAAAATCTAATTTCTTAAAACATTGGAAAATAATATTTTTAATATTTTTAACAAGACATAGGAGTGCTGGTTAGGCGGTTAACGTGCCTGTTACAGTAGATCCACTACAATTAGCAAAATTGTGCCGTTTTGTTACTAATATTCCGTGATCACCAGGCTGTTATTAATTGTGCGATAAGTAGGATGTTCATTGGGAATTAATTTTAATTTAAAAATTTATGAGTTGATTATGAAAATTTTTAATATTATTTTAAAATTACTTTAATAAATTTTTGTAAAATAGAATTTTATTATTAGCTGATTTGGTCTTATAGTCTATTAACATATTTGATATTGTTTATCAAAAATTATCTTTATTAAAATTTGTGGTTTTATAATTGGATGGAAAGACTAGAAGCAGGCATGTACAATAAATTCAATAATTACTTAATTTTAGGGTTATTATTAAAAGTAATTGAGCAATTAATTTAAGAAATTTTAAAAAGCTCTTAAATTTTATTTTAAATTTAATTTTTTTAATAATTTTAAGTATGAGATTGTTTTTGTTAAAAATGCAAGGAAAAAGTAATTTTTACAATTAGAATTTTTTTTTGAATTAATTTTTTCGCGATTAATTTTAAATGATGAAAATTTCATTTTGAAATTTGAAATTAAAATTTGTAATTTTGTAAAATAAAAGTGAATGTTTGTATTATAAGGGTTCAATGACGATTTCTCAGCTACAATCCTCTAATATGTGTTATAGAATTCCTGTTGTGTTGTATAATATTTATATTATTTGAATTGGATCTTCAATTTTCGTATTTTCAGATATTAGAAAATTATAGAACTAATTGCTCCTCTCTCATATTGTACTGTTTGTAGTACTGTAAATAATTTAACGCAGTACGACAAGTTTTTAGTTCAATTATCGCCTGTTTATAATTAGAACTTTGAATTCAAATTGTATTCAAATGTGGTTGCGTCAATTTCTAATTTATACCAATATTTTATACCTACCAATATAAATTTTGACAATAGTACCGTGTTAATTTAGGTAGTCCACTTCAATACGCCGTCAAGTGAAGCATGTTATTATTAATTTGTCATTAAAGTTTTTTCATTATTTGGATTATTTAGCCTATTTGATTTTCTTTATATTCAGAAGAACGTTTTTATTCTTTCCTTGGTATTTCCTTTTCTTGCATATGTCAGTTGTCATATTCCAGCTCTATTTGAATACTCTCCCTACAAAATTCGCTTCCCTAAGGCGTCTCTTTTTGTGGAATGCGATTTGCTTTGGAACTATTAAAATTGCTTACAATTATGTAAAAATATATTTTAAAACTCTTTCCAATTCAAATATTCAATAGATTTTTAAATATAAACTAAATTTTGAATAAGCAAAATAAATCGAGATTCTAGTGTTGTTAATTTTTTCATATTAAATAAAAAAAATATGTTTGCTTCAACAAAGCTATATGCACATATTTAGTAATATATTCATATGAGGCATTTTATATTATTGAGTTTAATATGTGAAAATTTAAAATAGTTAGCAAAGATATAAGTTAAAAAATGTTTATATGTTGCTTTTTTTTTTTTGTTTTTAATTTCTATTAACTGATTTTATTTTTTTTTTATTAATATACTTGTATTACACACTGCCATATACTATGAGAGTATAAAAATAGTAACATACACAATATACGTATGTATGTACTTCTATTTATATATAAATAATTTTTATATATGTATGTATATATTTGTTTTTATATGACGATAAAGTTGTTATATTATGGTTACCGTTCTGTTTAGGAATATAAAAAAAAATTCACATACGTTTTTTTTTTAATTTGCTTATTTTTTTGTTGGTTGGAGCGCTTTTCTCTCTTTTTTTTTTATAGCAAGATTTTTGTTGTTGTATATACACAACCAAAGCAACATATTCATGTTGACGTCGTCAATATCGCGCCCGCTAAACTACTTACTTTTCATTATAATATAAAATAAAAACAAGAAAACAGAAAAAAAAGTCAATTATTTACAACATATACTATATATTATATAATATATATATATGTATATATATTTAAGGTATATAAAATATAAGTAAGAGAAAAAAAATAGTAATAATAAATTCGGGTTTTCTTTATTATTTAAAAATTGAGAAAAAAATGTTGAAAATAGTAACAAAATATAAAAAAAAAAGTTGAATACAGTCACATAGGCATACTTATTTATATATATAGTATAAGATAGACAGGGTGTTCGTTTTCTAAGTGCAAAAAATATTTGAATGTTTAAATTTCTGAATAAACCTCATTTACAATTTAGGTAGAACTTTTGCATAGACTCAATAGATTTGAAGGAATACTCGGGTTAATTTTTTGCTTTTTCGAGTATACCAGTTTCGTTTATATGGGAGATAAACTGTTATATAATAATTTAAGACCATTGATTTTAAAATGCCGGAGTAAGGTCTGCCATACAAAAAAATACTTTTTAGACATAGACTCGGAAAAAATTACGGAGTCTTCTTGATTTCAAAATTTAAAAAAAAATTTAATTTTTAAATTTTTATTTTTAAAAAACATAATTTTTTATGTGAAATAACATTGAAACTTGTGGCATTCCTGAAATTGTATTGTTGTGACTTGTGACATTTAGATTGTATTGTTGAAGATTGAAGAGTGTCGTTGAACAAAATATTTGATATAGGTATGCGCTGATTTTTTTGTTTCTTTAATAACTCCAAGCAATTCGCAACGAGTATTGAAAATGCCGACTAGCTTGTGCTATATAAATATTAAACTTAATAACATGATCCATTTTAATTGCCGAATCTAGCAATCTAATTGACTATAAAACTATCTCTTCTGTTCAAAACCATTCGTTACTTTTAAAATTTATCATGAAAATATTTGAGGACAAGAAATTTTCGACTCAATATAGGAACATAAAAATGTTTTGGACTTTCTTGACTTTTATGTAAAGGTACTCGTATAACATTTCTTGTGTACATAACGAACACCCAGTTTACATAACATGCCTTATGTACATAATATGACAGTAAATAACATCATTCATATGTATATATAGGTACAACTATTATAAAATATTCAGTTAATTTTTTTTTAAGGTTCAAACGCTTTAGAAAAAAATTTGTTAGAAAAAAAAAATGTAAAAATGTTTGGTTATTTATTAATGTGAGTTTGTTTTTTTTTTTTAATATTCGCGTATACCTACTGTAATGGCTTAGCTATATTCCGATGCTTTTGCTATATATAAAACGCATGAAATCATACCATACATGTTAGGTATATATAATATCAATTCCTAAATATAGGCAGTGTTCATATCAATGTTAATTAATTAAAAGCAA